ATATGTTAAAGACATGGCCAATGTAGGAATTTGTTTTGTTTAGCTATGCTGATTTGTTGTGCTTTTTTTAGTTCTTTTTTTTTTTTTTTAGCTTTTCCTAAGGTGGGAGGAAGCAGGAAAAGAGAAATGATTTTTGTTCACTGAATTTTTTTAAAAAATACAACGTAGAATCATAGATTTAGAGCTGGAGGGGACCTTAGATATCATCTAATGCAGGCCTGTACAACATATGGCCCACAGGACACTTGCACCCCGCCAAAGGATTTTAGGAAACCTGCGAAAAATGTAGGGTTGTCCCTGCGCACTCCTCTTTGTCATGTGACCTGCGGCAATCAACCATCATTGGTCTGTCTATAGTCTAATCATTGGTCTGTCTATAGTCTAACCTATCTGCGGCCCAAAGATTAGCCTATTTTATTTTTGGCCTCGACCTACTGCCAAGTTGTGCAGGTCTGATCTACTCCAACCACCTCATTTTATAGATGAAGAAACTGGATCCTGAACACGTCAAGGGACTTGCCTAAGGTCATACGGGCCTCAGACAAATAGAATTAGATGAGAAGTCAGGCTCTCTAACTCCAAAATGAACATGCCTATAAGGAAGAGAATTGAATATAAGATATGCAGAAAATAAAGAGCAGAGGAGGAGGAGGAAGAGGAGGAGGAGGGAGGAATAGAGAAGCCAGGAAAAGCCTCAAGCAAAAGGTAACACTTGATCTAAGACTTGAATAGAATTTAGGATTCCCAGAGCTTGAGGACAAGCATTCTTGGCATGAGAAATGGTCTGTATTCCACTCATTCTGCCTGTACCTCGAGTTAGCCTGGAACATCATGATTCCTTGCTGTGATGTGAGTCTGTCCCCACCCACAGAAACTTCAGCCCTTGGGAACTGTCTGCTTGTTGTTAATTTCCTTAAGGGAAAAAGCCCTTGGCTGTCTGAAACCCAGAGGGTGCATTATGATGAGATTCTACGGGGCAAGGTTCCAGGGACAATCTGGGCTGCACCGTGCTCCCCTACCAAGCTGTAAGACACTTGCAGAGGTGAGCACTGATAAGAGTGCATATTTCTATAGCGCTTTATAGTTACAGGGCCCACGACATGCAATATTTCAATTAATCCTGTCAACACCCCTGAGAAATGAATCCTTCCATTTTACAGATGGGGAAAACAAGTCTCCAAGCAGTTAAAAAGATCTGCCAAGAAGATCCCATAGTGAGAAAAGGTCAGCCCTGGGACCGAAGCCCAGATTTTCCGACAAGACCAGCCCTCTTTCCATTATAGCTTTCTGTAGCTGAATTCATGGATCTAACCACAGGGAATAAGTCAGAATATCCAACTGGAAGATTAACTAAAAAGTCTCTTTGATGCAGTTTCTTAGGGTTGGAAAACTCCTTCAGATGCTCGTCTGCAAAATTCTTCAAAACTTGCGATAGCTCTTAGTTACTGATCCTCATAAGCTCAACCCCCTGGGACCTCCTGGGATTAGACAGCCTGTGCAGTAGAAATAGTACTGAAGTAGGAATCCAAAGGCCTGGCCCTTCTGGTCCCATTTACCATCTGTGTGACCTTTTGCCCTGGTACTGACCCAGGCTGAGCCTGTTTATCCATCTATCAAGTCAAGGCGGTAGCACCTATTAGCTCTTTCCATAAATCGAGGGCAGGTTAGAGGGAATTTCCCTACTGAGATTTCCTTTGAACAAAGGAATCAAGGTCTGGTTAAAAAAAAAAAGGTACTTATTGTAATGGTCAAGAAGTGATACAGAAACTATGAAGCGCCAATCCACTGTAAAGTATTATAAGTCAATTCAGTTCAATGAATATTTGTTAATTTGTCCACATTTTTAATGATGTGACCAAGAAGTCTTAAAGCACTATCAACGTGCTAGTTATTAACTGTTAAAGGATAAAGACACAGAAAATGGCAGTCTCTTCCCTCAGGGAGCTTACAGTCTAATGTGTGAGGGGGAAAGGGAATATAGCACACACACAAACAAATATAGGAACAAGCCTTTATTATTACTGAAACAAAATGTAAGTTTCTTTAGGGTAGAGATTGTTTGGCTCTTGTTAAGGTTCAGATATTTGCCCACAGTTACATAGCCTTTATGTGCCAGATGTAGGACTTCAAGCTCAATTCTTCCTGCCCCTAAGGCCAGCCTGCTATCTATTCTGCTGCCTTTTCTGTGAGAAGCTTAACTGGATAAACAATTACATGGCACGGTGGATCGAGGGCTGACCTTGAAGTTAGAAAGACCTGAGTTCCAATCTCATCTCAGATACTTACTATTGGTGTGACTGTGGGCAAGTCACTTATTCACTCTCAGCCTCAGTTTCCTCATCTGTAAAATGGATACAACAATAGCACCTGCCTCCCAGGGTTGCTGTGAGGATTAAATGAGATCATATACGTAAAGCATTTTAAAGTACTTATAGAAATGCTAGTGATTATCGTTGTTGCTGTTGTCCTTAGGTTAGAATGGGGATTATCCTTATCCTTAGTAATAATTTTAGGTAGCTAGTTGAACATAATATCATAATGTGCTGGGTACAGTAAAAATTGAACTATTCAGAACCCAGCCTGCTGAAATGGTTACCCTCCTGGAATTGTGGGGGGGGTAGAGAAGAGAGGAGAAGGGGGAGGAAGGGGGGGAAGAGGAGGAAGAGGAGGAGGGTAGGGAAGAAAGGAGGAGGGGGAGAGGAAGAAATGGGGAAGAGGGGGAGGGGCAGAGGAGGAGGAAGATCCTCTTTGTCAACAAGAAGGGAACACATGAGAAAGTCAGACCCAAAGTTTCCTTTGTGTGCGCTACAAATGGTGGAAGGAAAGGAGAGCTCTGACAGACCAACAGGCCGGCAGATCAATGACCCCCTCCCTACTCCAAAACCACCAAACCAAAACAAAGCAGGAACAATGGCAGCGTGTGAAGGGCAGACTCTGAGCCTAACAGGGCTTCCTTGGGAGATAAGGGATTCCCCCAAATGGTCTTCAAGCACAGGATGAATGATCTGGTACTCTGAGGAGATATGGCTTGGTTGTTCAGATACGAGTTGGCCTGGACCGCTTCTGAAGCCTCTTTCCAACTCTGAGATTCTGTACTATTTTTATAAAATCCTGGAAGGATAGAGTGCAAAGGCTGTTTGGTGGGCATCTCCTGCCTCTGTCTGGGCCACTGGTCTCACACAGACTGCTCCCCTTTTCTTTTCCCTCTGTTTTCTCTTCCCTATTTCCTGCCTAATTCAGGCCTCATCTCCTGCTTCATTCTGGTATTATGAATGCTCCATCCTGCGAGCTGGAATTTCAAGAATCGCAAATATTACCAACATCTGGATAATCATACACCCTGTGCTCCTTGGAATTTATATAAAGTTTTGCAATCACTAGTCTGGGAAAAAGTTACCTGACACCTCTAGAACACTAGTCACATGACCACTTACGGAGCCCATCTGCTGGGCTCGGAGGACTCCACTTCCAATAGCCTCTGAATAAAGGAGAGGGACTCTGGAAAATGAGAAGCAGCATGGTGTCCTACACAGAACACTGGATTTGGGAGTCATGAAGACACAGTTTGGCCAGCTGGTCACTCACTCCCAGAAAGGTAGAAATTCTTATTTATCCTGGCTGCTAGTTACAGTCAGTAGGGCCCTTCACCTGAAATGATGCATCCAGGGACCCAAAGGGCAAATCTCTATTAAGGAGACTACCAGACCCTGCTGCCTTGGCTCTCATCAGGCCTTTAGACACCAGACATGGCCAATGATATCCTTCCTCTCTCTCCTCCCCCTTGTGCTTTGTGGCTTCCCGGACCCAGGAGGACGACAAATGTAATCATTTTAAAAGGTCCCATCACCTGCTCAGTCATTCCCAGTAAGCCCACACAGCACTATGGAAAGACTGACACCTGAGTCATGAGGCCTCAGCCAGAAGAAAAAAAGATCAAATCACCGGGATGCAACCGGCAGAATTGTCAAAGACCAAATAAAAAGCTTCATGAATTCTCCATCAGCAATATAACACTTCCTGGCCTAAGCAAATATAAACCCAGCGTATGAATTGTGATAGGATTGCATTAGCCTCAACAACTTCCAACAGCTGGAGCAGAACCCTAAAGAAATACATGTTTCTATAAAGCTGCCTTTATTGGTTCTAATCCTGTTAGGGTGAAGGCTGCAATCTCTTTCTCTGAAAGCCCCCTTCCTCTGGTGGAAGGTTTCACATTCAAGAGGCATAAATACATTTTCTCTGCCCTCAGATGAAGCAGAGAAAAGAGGACTCAGCCTGTATAGGTGAGGAGCTCCACATGCTGCATACCCTCCACCCCAAGTCTGCCTCTCCCCTCTGACTAAGGCTAGTGCTCCCGTTGCATCTGACTATCTGATCTGTTTGGATCATGGCACAACACCCAGGTGTCCTATGCAGCTTAGCCACACGTGAACAGAGAAAACAGGGTCATTCATTCTTTGGAACGGGGTGGGGCCCAAGTTCAGAATCACAGAGAGAAAGTCTGCCCATGGCCATCCAGCTTCTGAGAGTCCACTGAGGAGAAATAGATACAGTACAAGCAAAACAAACAACCTTTGAATATGCTGGGAGGAAAAAAAAAACTCTACACAGGAGGAATCCACGGAGCAAAGTCTGTCTTCCGTTAACTAGAGCAGCACCAAAGTACACCCTCCCCGTGGCAAATCACTGACGCTCCTCACTTCCTGCCAGAGGTACAAGTCTTCAAGGACCTAACACAGGCTACTCATCTAAAAATAAAATGGTCCATTTGGCCTATAAACTTTGGAAAGTATATTTCAGGCTCAAGCCACCACCATTTGATCACCCCTTTCCCTCATTCCATCCCCTTAGAAGCCAGGACTCGCATACGCTTTGGTCTTCTCAGTTAGGAGTTCCCTCCTGGTTCCAGGGGAGTTTGGATGAGTTCTCATATCCTCATTCCCCCACTCCAAGCCTGCATGGATCAACTTTCACCCCGACAGGTTGTGAGCATTACTTACCCCAACGTGGTCATGGTGACGATGGTATACCAGAAGGAGGCCGGGATGCTTGTGAATTTGCTGGCGGAAGAGCCCTTCTCGGCATAAAACATCACAGTGGCAAAGATAATGATGGCCATGGTGAGAGAAAAGAGGAGGAAGCCCAGCTCCGATGCGCAACTTTTAAGCGTGTAACCCAGGATTCGCAAGCCCTGGGAATGCCGGGAGAACTTGAAAATTCTGAAGACTCGGAAGACCCGAAGTGTGACAAAAGCGCCGGAGACATCCTCATTGTTGGTCATCACCAGGCCAATGTAGTATGGCATGATGGCCACCACATCAATGATGCTCATCACACTCCGGATAAAGCGGTAGCGGCTGGGTGCCGCAAAGAGCCGCAGCAGGTACTCAACAGTAAAGATCATGACACAGGCCGTGTCCAGGCAGAAGAAGGCCACCGCGTAACGCTCACCACACGGCAGCTCCTTGTTCCCAGGCACCGTGCCACAGGGCACCGTCTCCACTACATTAGTGATGACGGAAACGGCGATGAAGAAGCCTGTGACATAGTAGAAGACCAAGGCCAGCGTGCTTGTGTGTGGGTTCTCAAAGGCCCGCCACATAGTCTGACGGAAACTGAGCGATGGCAGGGATTCTTGGTTGTTCTCGGAGTCATTGTCATCCATCAGCCGCTCTGCGTTCTCCCGCTTGCGATCCTTGTACTCTTCATAACAGCAGTCCCCAATGATCTCTGGAAGGATGCCATAGAAAGCCAGCTCGTCATCATAAGCGGAGATGCACTCGTACCGGGGGTAATGCAGCTTCCCTGTGCGGTAGAAGTTAAGGACACAGCGGAATACCTCAGGGTCTCGGTCAAAGAAATACTCCTTGGTGTCCTCGTTGAAAAAGAATTCCTTCTCTGTGCTGCCAAGGAGGGTATCGGGGTAGCGCTCCAGTGTGGTCCGCCATGTCTGGAACCTGCGCCCGCTCACGTTGAGAATGATCAGCTCATCTTGCCTCTTGTTCTTGTCAGCTGGGGCCAGGGGCATGGGGCAGTTGGCCACGGGCATCCAGCCGATGGCTGCTGCCCTGGCAAAGGGCAGCCAAGCTGCGACTCCAGCAGCCATGGTGACGCCAGCTCTCAGGACAAGTTACCGTGTCTTGGAAAAGTCACACACCAGGTTGGAGTTAGCTCAGCAACCCCTGAGGGTGAGAGCAGAGAAAGGGGGTAAGTCAGAATGGAGAGAAGTAAAAGGTAAGAGACTGAGAACAGGGGTAAGCCACTAGTTGCCAAAACAATAAAATGAGGGAGAGACTTTATATAAAGGCAAATCCAGTGGACTATAAATGAAAAATAAAAGGGCAGGGCTACATTGCTCTTTCCCTTTCCATTCCTTAGCCCATATGCAGGGCAGCTAGCATAGGTGTGTACCTGACAGATGCTGGTGACTCACTGACAAATTGTCAAGTTCCAAGAGAGCTCAGATGCATTTGGAAGGGAAGCGTCCTCAACAGAAAGATCTGAGAAGACGCAGGCTATAATCAGCCCCGAAAGGTTATGGCCCGATTACAAATTTAAATTGGGAATGGGTAAATGATTTCTCACTAGAAGAATTTAAAAGTGGGATAAACATGCTAATTTTTATTTCTTCACTAACCAAAGCAATTAGGAAGTTGGGGGGCAGGATGCAAAGAAGGAACAGAAATAAACACATTCCTTCCGCTTGTTTCCCCAGCCAATAAGGTGAGATGCCCAAATTAGATCAAATAAATCCTAGGATACTAGCTCATTGTGCAAAATGTCCAGGAGCTAAGCCCACTGCTGTTTTGACCTATCTATGCCTTCATCTCCATCTCTCTCCTTTCAAGGCCTAACCTACAAATGTGACATAGTATAATATGTATAATATGAATAGTATAACGATAAATGCTTGTTGATTGAGATACCTGGGGTATTGGTTCTCAAACTTTTCTGAGCATGAAAATCCCTTTTTAATGTAAAAAAATGTCAAGTACTCCCTTTCTCCTATATTACTTGCATTATTAGTATCTACTGATTGTGGAAGTACATAGTGATAAAATGGAGTATGTATGGACTCGTACACTCAGTACAATAAACTCTGTCCCCATCACCCTCCAAAGGGTCCATGGCCCAGGGGTTAGGAACCACTGCCCTCCAGGAAAGACTCAGGATAAAGCAGTGAAAACATGAAAACCTATAGGACTTTGGTCCTTAGCTTATCTGTGTCCTATAATTCTTAGTCCCCTTAGGGAAGGTGGTCTTGTAATCAGAGTGACCTCCAGATTCTTGGCCTCCCTGGCCCATTTCTAATATGGTCTCTGCCTCCCCAGTGCATCCTTGGCAAGTTGTATAACCATGCACGATTCAACCCCAACGTCTCCTGATTCCACACACAGATACTCTTTCCAAAACTTTTCTTATCTCTTTCCCTGACTCACTGGTCCTTCAGCTATCATGTTCAGACGTCAGTTCTTTGATCTTCTGTGTGGATGTCCTACTCACACATGTTCATTCCAAGTGCCTACCTCCATGTGGATGTGCTGGCCACACACATCTCTCACATTTGTATGCCTCGCCTATGCAGGCCTATTCTTCCCACTGAACGGAAATTTGTGGGAAAGTGAGCTCAGGGTTAATGGGGGAAGTGTTCTACTGTTACTGTTACTACATTGCTATTTAATTTTGCAATATGGGTTTCAAGATGGACTGGAAATAGAAAATGTATGCACATGCTCTGCCTAAAACCATCCCAGATTCAAATGCCATTGTTGTATGGGGAGGAAAAAGTCAACTTTCCCTTATTTGTGATAAGGGGTGGATGCAGGAGCTCAGACAATCCAAAAGAGTGGATCATGCAAAAATTAAAGTATTTGGCTTTGGAATGCTTTATTATCTCAACCCTACCTTTTTACCCCAAAAGTCTAAGTGTATTGACCAGAGATCACACAACTACTGAGTGCTAAGGAATTCAAACTTATGTAAAAAAGCATATTTACTTTCCTAATTATTTAGGTGATGATGATAACCAACCATTCATATTGACACAGCACATTAAGGTTAACAAAATACTTTCCTCACAAAAAACCAAAAATAAACCAAACCAAAAAAGTACCAAAAGCAAGTATTATTATCCTGGAATTGCAGAATCTTGACGGGAAAGAACTAGAGGTAATCATCATCATCATCATCATCATCATCATCATCTTTACATAGCACTCTAAGGGTTACAAAGCACGTTATCATGTTCATCCACACAATCTTCCCGTAAGGTAAATGATATTATTATCCTCATTTTAACAATGGGGAAACTGAGGCTGAGAGAGTTTAAGTGATTTGCCCAGGGTCACATAGGTAGTAAGTGTCTGAGGCAGGATTTGAACTTTTGTCTTCCTGACTCCAGGCCCAGCACTCTATCCATTGTGCTACCTAGCTGTAAGAAGCCTCTCTACCATATCCTTGAAAAAAGTATTGTTCTTCAGTCGTTTCAGCTGAGTCTGACTCCTCATGACTCTATTTGGGGTTTTCTTGGCAAAGATACTGGAGTAGTTTGCATTTCCTTCTCCAGCTCATTTTACAGATGAGGAAACTGAGGCAAATAGGGTTAAGTGACTTGCCCAGGGTCACACAGCTAGTAAGTGTCTGAGACCAGATTTGAACTCAGGTCTTCCTGACTCTAGACCTGGCACTCTGCCCACCATTACACCTACCTATCCATCCTTGACAAGTAGCCATTCAGCCTCTAGTTGGAGCTCTTAAGAGATTGGGCATCCACAACTTCCCAAAGCAATTTGCTCTACTTTTGAATAGTTAGAACTCTCAGAAAGTTTTTCCTTACATTGAACCAAAATCCATTTTTGTACAATTTCCACCCGTTGTTCCTGATTCTGTCATTTAGGGCCAAACAGAGCAAATTGAATCTTTTGTTTTAGTTAATTGAATTAATTCTTTTTAGAAAAATTGTGATATAAATAAATGTAATAATAAATATAAAAATGTAATATAAATAAAAATTTTAAGACAAAAATGTAATTTTTATTTCTGCCTTTTATTTTTTATATTATATATTTCATTTTATTATATTCTATATTATAATATAATTATAATATGATACTAATATTTTCTATCATGTAATTTCCAAATATGTTTGTACCCAGTAACTGCCTAGTAAACCATCTAAGCAGATGGGCTAAACCAGGTTGAGGCCTCAAATCCATCAGTGAATCAGGGAGCTATCTCTCCCAAGTATGTGAAGATTTCTCCTGGCAGAATAGGTAGATGAGAACAATTTGTTTCAATGGCCATGAAGGTAGCTGAAGCAGGAGTATGGAGTGCTTAGAGTTTTAAGCAGGCATTGAAAATGCAAGATTCTATATCTGGTCTGACCAAGAAGAGTATCTAAGTGAATTGTTCAGAGTCACACTGGTGAAAAAGATGAGATTCAAACTCAAGTATTCTGAGTCTCAGACCAGTGATTTTGACATCATTTCAACTTTTGATATTCAAATAATTCTTCATTCTCTGAGAAAATACCAAAAAATGATCTAAGGATGAGGGAAAAATTACATTTTCATTTTCACCAACCTCTTCCAGGGCTCTTCACCTGTTTTTGTGTATCATGGACCCCTCTGGCAGTCTGGGGAAGCCCAAGAATCCCTTCTTAGAGTAATATTTTAAAATGAGTAAAATAAAATGCATAGGATCACAAAGGAAATCAATTATATTGAAATACAGTTATCAAACTATTTTAAACATGTTAATGGTCTCAGCTTAAGAACCCCTTATCTAAAGATACAAACTCAATATGTGTTCAAGGTGTAATACAGTGGCCAAGCAAGCTAATGCCATCTTAGGCGAAGCTTTCCAGGAACAGAATGGTGATAATTTCATTGTACTGTGCCCTGGTCAGACCATATGTGGAGTGCAGTTCCGGATGCCACATTTTAGGAAGGACATTGATAAGCTGAAAAGTGACCAGGATGGTAAAAGGCCTTGAGTTCATAGTCTATGAAAGTCGATTGAATGGATTAAGGTGTTTTTGTCTGAAGAAAACAGAGTGTGGGATGGGGAAGGGTTGAGGGGAATATGACAGCTGTCTTCAAATAGCTGAAGGGCTTTCATGTGGAAGAATGAATAGATTTGTTTTGTTTGGTCCCAAGGGTGGGTAAGAGTTGCAAAGAGGCAAAAAGGTTTGGTTTAAATTTCCTCACAGCTGAAGGCAACCCAAAGTAGAATGGACCGACTTCGAGCAAAAGTTGAATGAGAGGTATGTGATCTAAGGGATTCTTTTGGCAGGTCCGGTTTGGAGTGCATGGCTGCTAAGGTCCCTTCCGACACTGAAATTCTGCAATTTGGAAAGGATTTAGGGTATCTTCATTTGAAACAATGACTTCAGATAATCCTCAAATAATCGAACAGGCCAAATCCCATCATGACAAATTCCAAGGGACTATCTACATTCTTCTCTCCACTGGAGTTTTGCTGTATTAAATATCCCTTTAAAGAGATGTTGTCGCTATGACGGAAGGAGCCCTGGCTTGGAGTCAGAAAGACCTGGTACAAGTCCCAGACCCAATACTTACCAGCCATGTGACCACTGGTCAAGTCACTTATGCCTCTGAGACTATAAAATGAAGATAATAAGACTTGAACTAACTACCCAACAGGTTATTGTGAGAAAATTACTTAGTAAACAGCAAAGCTCTCTATCAATGTCAGTTATTACTATAAGTAGGACATTGGTAAGGCCTTAGAAATCTTTTTGTTATGGAGATTCGTTCTGTATAAGAGCCCTTTGATCCTTCCCTTGTGAATCAGCCTCCTTTTAATCTCTCAGGTGCATTCCCCCAAAAATTGCATTCAGTTGATCAGCATCTCACCAAAGTTTTCTTTATCTGGTATCCCCTCGGGACCTGGGCACCCATATTTCTATTGGACCTTAACATTTACAAAACACTTTGTTCACAACAACCCTGTGAGACAGATGGTGCAAGTGTTGTTATCTCCTTTTTACAGCTGAGGAAACTGAGGCTAGGGAAGAAGTAATATGCATAGTTAGATCTTGGATATGAATCCAAGGCTTCTGACCGCAAGGCCAGACTTCTTTCCACCACACCAAGCTGCCTTGCATCAAATTTGCACAACTTTATTTGTTCCTTGGTAACACTCTTAGATTGTTTTCATGTGTGGAGGCTCTGTTTCTCCAATCAGATTATAAGGTCCCTGAGGATAAGGAATGGGTTGGGCAAACTAAATTCAAAGGCTGATATTGTCTACAACTCACTGTGAGACCTCAGACAAGCTGCTAAGATTTCTCTGTGCCTCTATTTCTCCATCTATCTGATGCAGAAAATAATTAGTTTCCCCCCTCCCCATTTCTGAAGGTAAAGAAAGGGTGATTCAGATGCCATATGGGAAAAGCAGTGGATAAGACATCCCCCACATACAATCACACCAAGAAGACAGAGTAACTGGTGACAGTACAATCAATTCCTGATCGTGGTCCCTAGAAGAAGAAAGCTGTGATTGAGTTAATCCCTTGGGTTTGATTTTGGAATGTGTCATAGGACTCTTTTCCCCCTGCATGACAGGGGATTTGGTATAGTAGAGAGATCACTGAACTTAAAATCAGATAAGATGGGTTTCAGTTCAGATTCTGACAATAGCTGTGTGATGATGGACAAGTAATTTAACTCCACGAACCATAGCTTCTTCATCTGTAAAATGGGAATGATATTTGCCTTACCTACCACATAAGGTTGTTGTGAGAAAAGCATTTGCAAACCACAAACCACCATGCAAATGTGAGCTGTTATAATTATTAGAATAATGTAAGAATCTATCTGTATTCTTTGAGCACACAATGACTTACAGAAAGATGCTAAGTGGCTCGGGGAGGGGGGAAGCCAGACTGGATCTAAAAAAGTCTGCAAAGAGGGTATGCCCCATGAAGAGAATAGAGATATGCGCATTTCAAATATCACATCTACAAGCCCTCTAAAGTCTCTCCAAAGTCCCTCCTAGCTCTTATCTATTGTCTCTGCCTGGGTTCAAATGGGTGCATCCTAGCACCAGAGAGAATGAAGGGCTGTCTATGTAGGATCGCTATGTCCATTCCTTCATACACACACACAGACATACACGGACACATTTTTCTAGGTTATATAGGATCAAAGGATGGCGACTTAAAGGTCTATGGTACCTCAGAGGTTACTTAAGCCAGTCCTCTCATTGACCACATAACAAAATCGAGCATTAACATGAAGAGACTCACTCAAGGTCACACTGGTTAGTAAACAGCCAAGATTTGAACCCAGGCCGCCTAGCTCCAAATCCAATGCTCCTTTCCACTGTACCATGCTATGGCTTAGGCCAGAGAAAAAAATTAAGGGCATGGCATGATGTAGCAAGAAGAATGTAATTAGAAATATGGCAATCAGGAGATGGGGATCTTACTTAAAGGATCAAAAGATTTAGAGCTGAAAGGGCACCCAGAGGTCAAATCCAGATGCCTGATTTTACACATGTGGAAACTGAAGACCAGAGAGGTAAGTCACACAGGTAGTACTGGTATCTTTGAGATTTTAACCCTGCTCCACAGACTACTGCCACAGAATGCTTTCCACTGTACTACAGTGCCTCCTAGTTTGGTAACGTCTGTCAGAGGATTTCCTTTCTCTTGGCCTTAGCTTCTTCATCTATAAAATATGGCCGCATGGTATAGGAGAAAGAAGATTGGCCTTGGAGAATGAAGACCTAGGTTTGTAACATGATTCCAACATTTAGTAACTATATGACCTTGGACTTTCAGCTTCCTTATCTGTAAAAACAAAACAAAACAAAACATAACATTCATTATTGGTAACCTCCATGGATTGTTGAGGATCAAGTGAGATATGTAAAATGCTTTGCAAACCTCAGTGCTATATACATTGGAATTAAAATAAATGATCTCTAAGGCCCTTCTCTAAAATTATATGATGCTGTAAGAGCCAAGAATCCTGGGGGGAACACTTGTGGCTTATCGCCTCACACGAGGAGTTCCCAGGACTCTCTAAGGACAATTTTCCCCTCTACAAAGCAAGGCAGACAGCAATAGTTCTTACTGTGAGGTTCAAGATCCCTTGAGTCTCTTCATTGGGAAAGGAATTTCTTCTGAATATCTCAGAGCCAGTCTTGGCCATAGCTTAGGGAACTAAGGCAGAGCTCATGGCTTCAAGTCTTGCATGGATCTAGCCTATCAACAGAAAAACCACCATCCCTCTTCTCAGCAGACTGTCTGGTGAGCAGCAGTGGCTGAGCCCGTGTGACCGTGGACCAAATTTCAAGGACTGTACCTACCACCTTGAATTGTGCTGTTCCCCATTATAGAGACCCAGACCTAGTCTCCTGAGCAAGTAGCTGCTGTCATGAAGTTGCACTCAGTAGAGCTCTTGATGGACCAGATTCCAAGCTCTGCACCTCGGGCTATTGATGCTTATCTCCCCACCCCTTATTAAAACTATATTCTCAAAAAAACCAAACCAAAACAAAACTATATTCTCATCTATATGATGGGAACAATAATACCTGTAGTACCTATCTTCTTGGATTTTTGTAAGACTCAAATGAGATAAAGTTTATAAAGTGTTTTACAAACCTTAAAAAAGCTATACGAAGTCAGATGTTATCATCCTCTTTTTCTAACACTTATATAGCATTCTAAGTTTTGCAAAATGCTTTAGTTGTATCAATTCAGTTAATCCTCAGAATCTTCTTTGATCCTCAAAACAGCCCTCTGAGGTAGGTACTATTATTATCTCCATTTTTATAGCTGAGGAAATCAGCTGATAGGTATGAAGTGACTTTGCCTGAGGTCTCACTGCTAGTAAGTGTCTGAGGCAAGACAGAAACTCAGGTCTTCCTGACTCTACACTATCCAGTAAGTCACACCATCTTTCTTGAGGTCCATTGTCTCTGATTATCTAGTACTCAATGCTGGCTTCTGCCTTAACCAACTTTGTATCTCCCAACTCCAAGAGTCTGCCTCCTATCCTAATGGCTCAAAGCTTTTTTTTTTGTTAAGAAAAAAAGCAGACATTTGTCAGCCTCAGGTTATCAACAAATTTGAGGTGCTCAAAATGTTTTCCATATAGAAATTATGTTTTCAAAGTTTTTTTTTAATTTTTTTTTCCTTTTTAAAATTTTAAACATTTTTACTTGAAGTTTAGAGTTTCAAATTCTATCTCTCCCTCCTTCCTCCCCCCCACTTCCCTGAGATGGTAAGCAATCAAGTATAAGTTATACATGTGCAATTATGCAAAACATTTCCATATTAGTCATTTTGGACAAGAAAACTTGAATAAAAGGGAAAAAATGAGAGAAAGAAAGTGAAAAATAACATGCTTTAATCTGTATTCAATCAATATCAGTTCTTTCTCTGGAGGCAAATAGTATGCTTCATCATCTGTCCTGTGGGACTGTCTTGGATCATTGTATTGTTGAGAATAATTGTCATTCATAATTCTTCATCGAATAATATTGCTGTTACTGTGCACAACATTCTCCTGGCTCTGTTCACTTTACTATGCATCAGTTCATGTAAGTCTTTCCAGGTTTTTCTGAAATCATCCTGCTTGTCATTTCTTACAGCAAAAAAAATATTTCATTACAATGATATACCACAGCTTGTTCAGCCATTTCCCAACTGATGGGCATCCCTTTGATTTCCAACTCTTAGCCACCACAAAAAGAGCTGCTATAAAATGTTTTTGTACAAATAGGTCCCCCCCCCATTTTTTGGATGTCTTTGAGATATAGACCTAGCAGTGGTATTGTTGGATCCAAGGATATGCACAGTTTGATAGCCCTTTGGGCACAGTTCCAAATTGCTCTCCAGAATGGTTGGATCAGTATGTAACTCCACCAACAGTGCATTAGTGTCCCAGTTTTCCCACATCTCCTCCAATATCCAACATTTTCCCTTTTTGTCATATTAGCCACTCTGATAGGTGTGAGGTGGTACCTCAGAGTTGTTTTAATTTGTGTTTCTCTGATCAACAGAGCTTTAGAACATTTTTTCATATGACTATAGCTAGCTTTGATTTCTTCTTCTGAAAACTGCCTGTTCATATCCTTTGACCATTTATCAGTTGGGGAATGACTTGTATTTTTATAAATTTGACTCAGTTCTCTATATATGTGAGAAATGAGACCTTTATCAGAGATATTTGTTGCAAAATCCTCCCCCCCCGTCCCGGTTTTCTGCTTTCCTTATAATTTTGGTTGCATTGGTTTTGTTTTTGCAAAAACTTTTTAATTTTATACAATCAAAATTCTCTATTTTACATTTTGTAATGCCTCTCTATATCTTCTTTGGTCCTAAATTCTTCCCTTATCTATAAATCTGACAGACAAACTATTTCCATGCTCTCTTAATTTGCTTATGGTATCACCCTTTACGTGTAAATCATGTAGCTAGGTTCAAGGCATTTTACAAAATGCTTTCTCCTATTAGAAAGTGAGGGGTCATGGAGGGAGGAAAATCTAAACAAAACACTTTCAAGTCTTTAAATCCTCAAGGCTAACTTTCCCTATTCACTCATCCAGGGCTGCTTTCTCAAACAAGTCAAATAAGCAATTTAGCAATTTCCAGGGGGTCAGACAATTGCTGCTCTCTCCCTCGCCTCCAGCATCTCTTCTCTCCTATCCCCAGAAAAATGCAAAACAGGGCAGGTTATTTCATTGACTAAATGTCTGACTTGAGGGGGGGGCGTGGCCTCCTCTGCATTTAACCCATGTTTGGGCCACATCAGAGTCATACCTTCAGCATAACCCCCAGGTAAGACCCCAGTGAATTCTCTGACCATTCTACAGTCTGTCACCCCAAGCTAGGCACCAACAGCTCACCCACAGTCAGCCCTAGTATGCATTCCTACAAAAGGCAGAGCATCCCGGCCCCGTTTCCAGCCAATGGCACTGCATACGCCTTGAATGTCAGGGTTTTACTAGGACGTGTACTCTTCCTAAATGGAAAACCTGAAGCTATTTTTGTTTTTGACAGCAGAGTTTGGCAGCAAGTGTGGAGGGGGAGTGGGGGTTGGTGAAGAGAGATACCCCCTAAAATGACAAAAGACAAAAAGCATAGGAGAAGGGGAATGGATTTCTCCCTGCTATAAAAAGTTGCCAGCACAATTCCCTAGCTTCTCTTTGGGGTGGCAGAGCATAGCCCTCGGGCTTAGATTTACTTAAGGCTTTAACTTCCAAACTGGGTTAAAGCCTAAAATGCTACAGTCACCTGGGTGAGAGTCCAGCAAAGAAAGCTGAATCCAAAGGGAACTCAGAAGGCAAAGAAGTCAGTTTCTGCTTTCACAGATTTCTTACCTTAAATCTGCCCCCACCATAAGATAATATTTGTAAAACTTAGCATTGTGCCCAGCACGTAGTAGGCATCATAAAAATGCTTATTCCCTTCCCCCTCTTCCCTCCAAACAGCCCCAAAGGGGTGGAATTTAAGGCAAGGAGGGAAAGGAAAGGATGATGATCTGGAAAGTGTCCTAACTGAGACCAGAAAGCTATGTTTGAACTTGACTAGGTGAACCATTCCCCTGACCCCAAAAAGCTCAGACCATCTGATCCACAGAAACTCGTTTCTCCTACAGTGCCGCTCCTAGGCCAGCCAGAGCACTCTCCAAGTGTTTTTCCTTCCTTTTCCACACCAAAAAGGAAAAATTACTTCTCTCTCCCCCTTTTGCGGGTTCCTTATGTACGTGCATTTTATGCCACAAGTAGCCTACAACCAGAGATAAACACAGCAAGAAATAAATTTGAGCCAACATATCCACAATATGTAAATATGCCCGTGGGAAGGTAGGATCACCCTATTTGCATACACATGCAGAAGCATTTATGGTTACAAAAATCATGCACACGGAAACTTGAGGCAAAGGGTTACAAAAGATGTGTATACACATACATGCAAATGTATACTGTTTGCTATATAACATATATTTGCTTCCTCAGAACACTTCTCCTACGTTCTCTAACCATGCAAGGGAGTGAGGAGAAACCACACATTCTCTAAAGCAATAAAATGGAGATTTTCCTTTACCAGTGGATTCCGGGTTCTAGCACCTCAGCCTGTTGCTTGTATTTCTGTCCCGACCCCAATAACAGCAGGAGGCATTTTATACTGGGCTGAAGTTCAGCATCAGAGAAAGCAAAAAAAAAAATTCAGCTTGTCCAGATGACTTCTCTTATCCTCTCACCTACCCCTCTGTAAATACCTCAGAAAACATACCCTTTGGCTCCATCTGCCCAGGTCTCGCAGAATCAACCTCTGATTTTAATAGAACACCTTTGGGAGCGGAAGGACCGAGCAGGACTGGGACAAAAACAGCTGTTCCAACCCCATCTGACTTCGAGGAGCACAGAGTGCTAGGCTCACTCGGGGCTGGAGAACTTTACCAAGCGCCCTGATATATTCACTCTCCCTTTCCTCCCCAGCTCCCCTCCCTCAACAAAGAGCAGGAGTACAGAACCTCTCCCATGTGACACTTCTTCCCAACCTGGGCTCTCCGAGCAATTAGTGCTTCTGGGCTCCTAAGGGACAGGGGCCAAGATAAAGGTTCCTGGCCCCCAAATGAAAGCACAGCTGTAAGGGATAAGCAGCAAGTGAACACCTACAGAGAATGCTGGACCTCCAGACTATCAGCAAGGGAAGGGCGCCCCAGAGCCTGTTCCCTACCCTTCCTCCGGAGCCGGGGGACCGGGAACTGAGAGCGGACCATAGCGCCCCCCGCCCCGCCCCCAGCACTCCCCAGCCCTGGTGCCCAGCCCCCAGGGCGTGGGGGAGGGACTCGAGTGGGCAGCAGGAGCAACAGGCGTGGGAGCAACACCTGCGGACCCCTTCCCTCCCCCACCTCGTCCCTTTTATCCCACTCCCAATACCAATTCCACGCCGGTTCCTCTTACCTTGGGCGCAGAAAGCCTCCGGCCCCTCCCGCGCCCAGGGCTCCCGGGGAAGCTGCAGCCCGGAGCCCGGAGCCCGGAGCCAGGGTCTGGCCGAGGCGGAGGGAGCCCCAGCGACTCTGCGCCGGGAGAGTGGAACGATGGCTCGCGGTGCTCCTCGGCGAGGTGAAGTCCGCTCGCTGGCTCTCTCTTTGCGTCCGCCAGGCACTCCGTCCCTCCTCCTCCCCCGCCGCCTCTCCGCCCGGGGCTCGGCAGCGCGCCCGCCTTCCTCCTTCTTTCCTTCCTTCCCTCCCTCCCCGGCTGCCCGCCTCGCTTGCTCCTTCGCTCGCTGCCCCCGCCAATCCCAGCGTCGCGGGAAGCCGAGACCAGCGGGCCACCGGCTGGATGGATAGGTCCCTCTCCCTGGGGGGAGGCGGCGGGGGCGCGAGGCGGGGCCAGGGGGAGGAGGGAAGCGGGGAGCAGGAGCAGTGGGGGGGGGGGTGGATCTGGAGACGAAGACCGCAGACGGGCTTCTTGGTGCCCGGCGAGTCCGGGCAGGGCGAGCTGCCCCGGCCACAGGCCGGAGAGCTGGGCGCTGTCTTAGCCGCCGGCGAATGGAGAGAGGCGGAGGATTGCTAGCCCTAGCGGCCGGGAGGAGGCCCGGGGGCGAGGGTGTGCGAGGGGGAGTGACTCGGTGTGCGTGTGCGAGTGTGTGTGTCTGTGTATGGGCGGGTGTGGTGCGCGCACGAGCGAATGTGGGGGAGAGAGAGAGAGGAGAGAGAGAGAGAGAGAGAGAGAGAGAGAGAGAGAGAGAGAGAGCGAGAGAGCGAGCAAGAAGCGAGGCTGAGCCTTAGCCTTAGCCTTCTTTCCTTGTGCTTCTCCCTGGGTGAGTGGAGGAATCCGAGTGTGTGACTGTGGGGAGCAGAGTGTGCAGCCACGGGTGTGAGTGTGTGTGTCAGTATGGGCACCGGGTGGGGGGAGGGGCCTAGCCAGAGGGCCAGCCTGGGTGTGTGAAGCCGGGAACATAGGGAGTATGCAGTGTGTCAGAGAGCACGGGTGCCGTTCTCGTGTGCTCTCGTGGTTGAAACTGTGTGGGCATGTGGGTGATGGTGATGCTGTGCAAATGTATGTTTGTATAGAGCTGATTGTGTCCACACGGGAGCGCCCCCACAATCACCTGCCTGCGTTTTGGCCCTAGCCACCTGGGGAGGTGTCACCTCCGAGCTCCTCCGGAGGTACACTTCTCTAAGCTCCAGGACTTGTTCGTCGAACCAAAGCACCGCGCCCAGCAGCCATTGGAGAAGCTCCAGTGCTGGGGACTAAAACCTTGACGCTCTATGCCCCACCACACAACGCTTCTACCTTTTCTCTTTCAGGGAGAAGGGACGCTCTCTTTTCTCACAGGGCATGGCTGTTCCGCTAATGGTCCGTTGTGAGAAAGCACAGTACGGTCCATGTAAGCTTGTTCCGAATCCCCCTTTTCACGTCCCAGACTCGAGAGTCCGAAGTCTGGACTTCAGAGACTGATCATCACCATCACTATTCCCGGTGCTTGCACCAACCTCCCCATCCCCGGAGCCGGACCCTTACATGCTGTCCCTCTACCCCTCCACCTTAGGCTCCGGAGCCCACGCCCTGATGTTGAGAAGCTAGTGGAGAATGTGGAGAGGCATTACCAGACTGTCTAACTCCAGACTGGGGAGGATGGAGCGTCCTGGAAGAGACTCTGGCCACTCGCCTGTCTCTGAGGTCCGGAAGACTCGGTACATCCCTGAGGTGCTCCCAGCTCACAATACCGAAAAAATCCAGAGCCCAGCGTTTTGGACAGCCGAGCACTTCAATGGTTCTCCCCAAGAAGATAAAAAGAGAAATGGCTCCTCTAGGTCGAATATGTGAGAGCGGGTGTGTCTGTTAGTGATGGAAAGGGATGTTGATACGCCCTCAGAAGTTCAGTGTGAACCCCACGTCTGGAAAAAGAACCCACAGAATCATGAGTCTGAAGTCTGGCTTGTGGAGGAGCCAGAATTTCCATCTGACCCCTTTAGAAATGACAGAGCCTTCGGGGTAACTGGACATTGGACCCAACGATACATGGGGAAACTTACATATTTTCCTCCCACTTTGGAAATGGAATAGAATGCGTAACAATGACCTGCGTCCCTGGGAACTTTGTGTGGCAGCCAGGCAGCTTGGAAATTTGCCCAAGAGATTTTGAGTGTCCTTTCCCGGAATTCCCCTTGCTCCCTATACTGCCACTCATTTTATTTACTGTAGAGACACCAATCAGGCAGAGGGGCATGGGTGAGGACGGGAGGGATCGGTACCATATAGCAGGTGGGTGTGGACCAGAGGGTGAGGTTGACAGGAGTCCCAGTGCTGTGTTTGATTAGCATAATGATTTGCATACAGTAATAATGATTAACAACAGTGCCACTCCCTGGTAGATAGAGGAAGGATTCAGGGAGATCCTTTGCAGTTTTCTTCTTTCCTTTCCCTTCTCTTCCTCTTCCCCATCCCCCAGATCCTTCATGGGCACAACTAATTTTCTAGCATCTGTTCTGAACTAGGGACTTTGTCCCCTGGGAGAGGATGCTCCTTAACCTTTATAAAAGGCCCACAGCTCCAATAACATTTACAAGAGTTAGCTGTATGATCCCTGACCTTTCTTGCTATTAAGAATAATTCACACTTCTTTAACACTTTAAGGCTTACAAAGCCCATTTAACATTAACTATGTGAAGTAGGTCATATAGGTATTCCAAATGGGACCACAGAAAGTTCAGAGAGGCTGACTTGCTCAGGGTCACACAGCTAGAATTAAGTGAAAATCAAATTCAGGCCTCTTGATTCCAATACCTGTATCCTTTCCACTTTATCATGTCTCCCTTCACCCATCCATCCACCCTCAATCTAAATCTTGAAAGACTTTATATTGTTTCCATCTATAGGTTCCTATGCTTTGAACTGGAGTTCATTATCTATCTGTCTGTCTGTCTATCTATCTATCTATCTATCTGTATTATGTAACATACGCCTGTACATGTGTATGTATATTACATATGCATATATTGTGTATGTATGTATATATATGTATGTATGTATACAAATACATATGTACCTATTATGGGATTGTTCTTGAGGTGGGTATCTTCACTAATATGGGGGGCAGGTAGAAGGCAAGGAGAAAGAAGTAGGGGGAAAATTCCTTTTAGAAAGAAACCTTAAGTAATTGAGTGCTATCTCTTAGGGATAATTTTAGAGCTAACCTGTAATTTCACTGGTGTAAGAAACTTCCTTCACAAATGTAGCTTCATGATTATTCTGCAACTATTAGTCTTAGAGAGGGGCCCAGAACACTGAAAAGCTAAGTCACTTGCCCAGGATCTCACAACTAGTATGTGTCACATGTGAGGAAAAAACTCAGGTCTTCCTGGCTTTCTACCCACAACCTTAAGTTGCCTCTCTCAGAAATGCTTTAGGGGAAGGAATTAGATGACCCCTCACATGCCTTGGAGCCTCATGATTCATAAAAAGAAAAACAAAAAACCAAAACAAAAACCAACAGAATTTTCTTTTCTTTTTCCTTTCTCCCAAAGGGAGTAAGGGAACAATAATGATGAGGACAGCAACATCAACAAAAAACACTTCTATTCACTCTTATAATCAAGTGGCTTGGAAAACATGAGACAAAAGGAGATAAGAAAAGGCTCCTTGAAATATGAGGCAATCATAGGTTCCCTCTAGCTCTAAAATTCTTGGAGATCATGCAGTCCAACTGCTTTATTTTACTAAGGGCTGGAGGGATTGAACGATTTGCCTAAGGCCCGTACAAGTGCTGAGTGGCAGAGGTAGGCTCTGGAGTCCAAGGTCCCTTCACCCAGGGCCACAGCTCCTTTGACACCACCCCGACGCCTCTTCGGTTTATGGAGCTCTCCCTCTTCCTCATTTTCCTATAGTCTCTCTGTCTCTCTTTGGCTGCCTGTCCTCGCCGTTTCTCTCCTTTGCCTCTGGCCTGGCCGGGATTTTCAGTTGCTTTTCCCCCATGACTCGGCCGCCTTTCTTTTAACTCTCAGCTTCTATTTAAAAAGCTAATTTGGGAGTTTGGTCGATGCTCCCAATTCAGGCATTGTAAATGGGAAATGAAAGTCAGACAGTGCCTTTCTCCAGAAGCTGCCGTAGCTCTGGCTTTTTGTCGGTTTGCCACCAGCACGGCTGTAGCATCCAGGAGCTCCGGCACTCCTCTCTGGACTGCTTTTAACAAGGGTTTGTGTGTCCTTCCCGACCTGGGCACCCACGATAATGGCTCTTTGATGACTCTTTGTAGAGCTTTTCGCTGTTGGTGCCTCTGCTCTGTAGCCTTGTGGTCAAGCTCGAATCTCCTGGTCCCTGATAGCTACACACCAGACTGGTGTACTTCCCAGCAGTCTCAACCTGTACCCCGTTTGTTGGCAGCAGGGTTTCAGAGCATCTTTAAAGTGTCTCCTCTGCCCTCTCTGCTTGTGATCATCCTGCTTTAGCCCTCCAGACAGCAGCCGCTTTGCCCTTATTCACATATGGAAGGAGGAAAACCGGATGTTTTGTGACAGACAAAATAAAATGCCTGCGAGCTGAGCAGTAGTTTGGGTATAATTTCATTGGAGCTGAGACCCTGGATTTATTATTGGAATTTTAAGCTTCCTGCTGGGACTAGTGAGGAGAAGGTGCTAGAAAATCTGCTTTGACTTGCCATGAGAAGAAAATGAACACCTGCATTTATTGTTTTAATAAGGAAAAGGTCCCCCAATCTGTGAAATTCATAGTGGGTGAATTTCAAACTGTTGGGATAAGAGAGTTTGAATTCTACAAGTTCTCCCAGAGCATTTTGGCTTTCTCTTTTGTCTCCATCACATTCTACTGTGTATTAAGCTAATTGGTGAGTGCAGACTGTCCTGCAGTAGGTTGTCAGCAACTTGAGGATGGGGACTGTCATTTTTTATCTTTGTATCTAGGTGCTTTCCGCATATGCACGTAATAAATGTTTGTTGAATTATAACAGACAGGAACTGGACCTGTGATTTAATTGGTATAGTGAACTTCCAGATGAGGTAGGTCTTACTCAGGTCCACACTTTCTCTCCAGATTCCAGCTTTAGGGTTTTGCCTAGACCACAGAGAGATCAAATGATTTCCCCAGGCTCATACACCCTTCAGTATGTCAGAAGTGGGATTTGAAGCCCAGGTCTTCCTGGCTCTGAGGATCTGTCCACTATTCCAGTGGTTTGTAAACTCTAGGACACCTTTCTACTCTTAAAAATTATTAGGGAACTTCCACCTTCCCCAAAGAGCTTTTGTTTATGTGTTATATTTGTTGATATTTACCATATTAGAAATTAAAACATCCTAGTATTACAAAAAGAGTTTTGATCTCACAGACTCCCTGAAGGGTCTAGGGGAACCCCAGTACTCTCCCAGGGATCCCTAGATCACACTTTGAGAACTGCTCCACTGTGCCATGCTGCTTCTCAATTATAAAGGAAGAAATTTAAGTAGTGGTGGGAAAGGAATGATTGGGGAGCAGTTGCTGTTAGCAAGTTTTATCTTTATCAAAGGCCAATCATTCATTTTGTTGGTGACCTATGAGGTAAAGTTCATGTTTTTGCAGTTTTGCGGGGAAGAGGGTGGGAGGTGCAAGTGGTTTGAGTCCTAGGATGCTCTAACCATCAGCCTGGTATCTTGGCTATTTGCCCAGTCTACTGCATAGAGAGGTCATCCTACTCTAGTCTCTTGGTGTCAAAAAGAAGAAGAAAACAAAACTCCAGACATCTGGCAGGAGACAGAGTTTTTCAGGACTAAATTCAATAAGATTGCTATACTCTTGTTCCCTAGGGACTGACCCTTTCCAATTCTTTTGCCTTTACAATCTTATAGAATAGCTGTGGATGCATGTGGCTAAGCATGGAGTGGCCTTTCCTCAGGGTTAGATAAGAACTCACGCTTTGACATAAAAGGGATTGGAGGCTCTCTAGCACTGAGATTTTTCCTCTGTTCCACATTTTTTCTCCATGGGTTTGTCAGTCTGGAAGGCTAGCACTGTGCTTGCACCCCCTGAGTATAAGGCCAGTTCTGCAGGATAATCTCCTATGAGGAGATTTGCTCTGTGACTTCAGAGTGACCTGATACTTTTTATAGTTCACTAAAGTAAGGAGTGAACAGCAGTAACCCAATCCTTAGAAACTACCTACTAAGAGGCAACTGGGTGACATAATGGAAAAGGGCTGGACATCGAGGGGGAAGTCAGGCAAGGGGGAGTAATACAAGTACAGAGAGAGGAGAGGGAAAGACATGTCTTAGATAAATAGTCTGGGACAATGGAATTTCAGATCTGGAAAAAACCTTAGAGATCGTCTCATCTAGCCCCTTATAATATCTTAGAGTTGGAAGGAATCTTGGAAGTCATCTTTTTTTAAGTCATTTTTCTTTCCAGACACATTTAGTGTGTGAAATATTTTTCCTTGATTTTTTTACATAATTATACATATTTGTTAAAAAGTTTTCTTTTTCTTTTCCAATTGGAGGGGGAGGAAGGGAGACTAGTTATAGAGTCATTGAATGAAAAAGAAAAGAAAGGAAAAAAAAGTTGAAGCATGAAGCTTGTTTTGAAGCATGTTTTTCATGCACAGAAGAGACCAGAAGGAAGGCCAGAAGGAAACACATACAAATCGGACAGCCTTGAAAGTTACATGTTGAATTTATTATATACTTGAAAAGAAAAACTAGCTATATGTAGTAGAGACTTGTGGTCTCATATACAATCCTTTCTCTTCTACTTTATACATGGAAATGTTAATTTTATTTGGGCTTTGATATTCAGAATACATGTATATGTATACATACATGTGTGTATTTATATGCACATACATGGGTGTATATGTACATGTATGTATACATATATATGTGTGTGTATGTGTGTGTATGTGTGTGTGTATGTATATATATATATATATATATATGTATATATATATATATATTATATATATATATATATATAATATATATATATATATATATATATATATATATATATATATATATATATATATATATATATATATATATGAGGCATCTTAATGCAGCCCTTATCTGAAGTGTGAATTTCCATGATAACATTCTCCCAAAATGATCATACCCATTATGGTTGAACATCTTTCCCAGTGAGGAAAATGAAACCCAGAGAGGTGGGAATGACTTGCCCAATGTCACACAACAATTCAGTAGTAGGACCCGGACTATAGCGCAGGTCTTCTGACTTTCAGAGGAATTCAGTGCTCTTTTCTGTGCATCATAGCAGCAGCTGCCTGAAGTTTCGGATTTTTGTGGGGAAGAGGGCTGAGGAGTGCTGAAGGTAAAGGAGGAAGCTGTTGGAGAAAAGGAATGTTTTGGATCCATAATAAGTTTTAACTCTCTAGTGCCAATGGCCCCTAACCATTGAAGGGATTTGAGAATATTAGTGAGTTTATCATTTAATCTCTCTCTCTTAAGCCTGCCTGATAGGAAGGTTCTTGTGTTCTCAAGTGCTAGAGACAGAGGGAGCATAATGAAAGGGATTTTAGGACTGAAATAGGTATCATATTGAATTATTGAATTATTACTTGGGAGGGGGCATGAAGGAAGCAGTGATAATATTGTTGGTTTTGTTTTCTTTTCTTTTTGGCAATTAGGGTTAAGTGACTTAGCCCTAGAGTCACACAGCTAGTTAAGTGTCAAGTGTTTAGTCTGAGGCTGGATTTGAACTCAGATCCTCCTGACTTCAGGACTGGTGCCCTATCCCCACCTAGCTGCCCCTGATAATATTAAGTTTTAAGAGAACTTTCCATCTCTCTTATCCAAAGAAGCAGTTACTTGTGTGAGCCAGTCAGAATTGACCAAAGTCTACCAATAATGAGGACACTTCTAGATTGGCTGAGAGGGATTCTAGGGCTATAAAGCATCCATACAGCTTAGTCCAGAGCACCTATGTAGATCTTACAGAGT